CATGAAATTCTTGAATTAAATACGTACCAGGAATCATGTGTTACAATACCGCACACACAATCCACAATCCACATATCATATTAGCTATAAAAGCTACATATACCACATAAGCCATGCATACTAACATATAAGGATGTCGTGGGCTCCCCTAGGGTCTTATACTTTCATGCCGTGGGCTCCCCCACATGGTCTTATATCCAACTGCCACGGGCTCCCCCCGGGGTCTTCCATGCAATAACATACATAAACAACTAACATATCATATATCACAAAATTATCTATCATACTACATAACACATACATAAACATATAAGGATGCCGTGGGCTTCCCCCCAGGGTGTTATACCATCATGCCATGGGCTCCCCCCACATGGTCTTTACCTAGGAATGCCATGGGCTCCCCCACATGGTCTCATATCCAACTGCCACAGGCTCCCCCCGGGGTATTCCATACAAATATCATATAATCACTAGCATACCACTTAGCATAAAGCTAACTATCATACCACATATCCCTACTACAGCTAGTGTACCACATAACATAAAATGGGTCGGCCTTGGTGCCTTAGACTCATTGGTATGGTGAGAAGACTCACCTATCACGAATGTTGAACTGACAAGCTAGACTCAGATATATCCCACGTGCTGCTCCAACTCAACTGTCTATAGCATCATAAGATAGACTTGTCATCATCCCAAAATCATCCTCAAATTCAACCCTGGTCAACCTTGGTCAAAGTCAAGGTCAACAATCCATGTTGACCTCAACTCGTCGAGTGCATCTAGCGACTCCTCGAGTTCCTATCGAGTCCAGAAAACCTGGTCAAACCCTAGCCAACTCGCCGAGTTGTTTCATCAACTCGACGAGTTCACTTGATATCCAGAAGGCGGGGACACCCAATCCGACTCGTCGAGTTACTAGGGCAACTCGTCGAGTCCCCCTTCCTGTTTGCTTGTTATGATGATACACTGAATGCAGGGACTCCAGGGCTTGGATCTGAAGCCCTAAGGTATCTAGAAGGATAAAGTTTCCAACTTTACCCTCTAGAACCATTCCAAATGCTCTAAGGCCCTTATCAAAGGTTGGAAAGCTTTAAAGCTTTGCCATAAAGTCCAAAACTCTAGGGATCTGGAATCCCTCCTTTCCAGAAGAGTTTCTAGTCCTCAAAACGTTCCAAAGATGGAGGCTTTATGGACATGCATGTCCAATGCATGTCCTTAGGTCAAAATGGCCAAAAAGAGGGAAATATGCCCTAAAAACCCTAGCATGGCGTCCTTGCTTGACCAAAGGCTAGATCTAGCCCACCTTGGGACCATTTTTCCCTAGAGATCCATAAAGTTGCAAACTTTATGAACCCCATGCATGCAATCAACAAGAAGGATAGGAAATGAAGAGTAAACTCAAGATCTAGCCATATTCTAAGATAAAAATCGAGTCTTGAAGACTTACAACAGTCCACAAGATGGTCAAGCTCAAGAGTGAGGGCTTGGTTTGCTGGATCTTCTCCTTCTTCTCACTATCTCCTTCTTCTTAAGCTTCAAAAGTCACTCTAGCTCACAAAATGAAAGAGAATGGGGATTAGGGTTTAGCATAGATGTTCTTAGGGTTTAGAGGCTGATGAAAGGTCAGCCTCAAGGTTCTTAAGGAGATTATATACGATGCAAACCCTAAAATTAGGGTTTTCTCTCTTCAGCTCCTACTCGCCGAGTCGATACTTCCGACTCGTCGAGTAGGTCCTGCCCCCGCGTCCATGAGATGGCCTCTACTCGACGAGTTGGGGCATCCACTCGCCGAGTCCATGCACAAACCCTAAAAATTCATGTAAATTACTTAATACCTGAAACAGGTGTTACAGGTTGGGGTTGAGAAAAGAATTGAGTTTCTTGAACCGTTTCAAACGGATCAAGATCCACATTCGGACGAGGTGTTGGTTGAGATTGGTTGAGGTAAAATCCCATTGGTTGAGAAGAGTACATATTAAATGGAAACATTTGCAGACCCATTGTAGGATAGTAGAAGCTGGTGGGAGAGTGAATTGGTTGATCAAATGATATTAAAGATTTTGTTAATTGATGTACTTGTATAAACAAAGGACATGGAGGTGGGTAGGAAACTTTATCATATATGTCAAATAAAAAATTCAATTTAAATATGAAACATTCAATTTTTAATCAAAGGAGCCAAAAGCAATCCGCAATCACTGAGTCAAAAACATTCCACCAATCAGATTTGTTCATACTTCTTGCTTTGTGCATGGTGTCTTTCAGGTGGCGAGCCCCCTAGCGAGAGCTAGGTGGCGAGCCCCCTAGCGAGAGCTAGGTGGCGAGCCCCCTAGCGAGAGCTAGGGGGCGGTGTTCTACATATTTGGCGAACATGGTGAGTGGCTTGGCGAGTGCCACTCCGCTTAATCTAAGCTTGTAATGGAATTGTTATTTCTAGTTTAGTTTAATTTGATTACTTGTTTTAACTTGTAAACCTATATTGGAGTTGTTTTTATATGGTGGAAATGATAACCGAACCAAATAAACTGAAATCAAATAACTCAAAAACCGATTAAACCGAATCATATTTGGTTTGTCTATGATTATGTGAGATATGTTAAAAAACCGATTTAACCAAAAACCTGTTTAACCAACACATTAACATCCCTAATCCCAAACACCCTGTTAATAATCAGTGAATTGTTAATAGTTCACAGAAGAAAAGAAAAATACCAAAATCTAAAGGGAACAAGTCTGGAAGAGTGTCAGATATGCCCATTTCACATCTCGAAGAAGAAGAGATTGGATCCATCGGAAACGGATCGATTTCACCGAGAAGTGACGCATTTGGAAATAGAATCAGGAAAATGTGAAATTCGTTGCCATTAAGAGTTTTCTTGATTTATTTATATATTTCGGATTGTTCTTCTCGATTTATAATCTACAAGGTTGAAGATTACAAGTCCCTCGTTTGGCGGCGATGAGGGTTTTTCGGTGATTATATATATGCATATACGTATAGAGAGAGAAAAAGAGATTTTTAGATATAGAGTGAAAGAAAGAGATGGGAGAGAATTCGGGTTACAAGCATTACGTAGCAGGATTGGTCTCAGGTGTTTCAATGGTGATCGTGGGGCATCCTTTTGACACTGTGAAGGTTAGTTTGAACAACTTCTTATTCCCAGTGTTTATTGTTATCACTGCTCATATTTTCTAAACAAGAACTCGATTTCAACAGAAACACAAGTACGAAACCCCATTTTGAATCATTTGAACTTGCGAATTAGAAGAAAAAACGACATTCACTTTTCATCACCGAGTTCCCAATAAACCACAATCATTCTTTTTGTGAAACATTCATGAGTGTCCGATGCACATTCTCTCTGTGCATAATGTGAAAATACTGAATTTGGTAGAGAAATTGACGGATTAATATGATATCTTCATATTGTCAGGTGAAGCTTCAGAAACACAATACTGATGCTAATGGATTCAAATACAGAAGTGGATTTCATTGTACAACTAGAATACTCAAGACTGAAGGAGTATATATCTCAACATCTTATGTCACATCTTTTTAAAGCCATTTACTTATATAAATATTTATATTTTTGCTTCATCATTCACAGATAAAAGGACTTTACAGAGGTGCAACACCATCTTTTGTGGGAATGGCTTTTGAAAGTTCACTTCTTTTCGGTATTTATTCCCAAACAAAGCAAGCATTACAGGTCTTCAAACAATAATTAGCTTCATATCTGCTCAAAAATCAAAATTATCATCTTTATATTTAACTTAAAACTTTTTTCTTATTTAAGGGAGGAGATCATAACAGAAAGCCTGAATCCCATATAATAATCCCTTCAGCTGCTTTTGCTGGATCCATTATCAGCTTCATATTATGTCCATCAGAATTGGTAAAGGTAAAAAATTCAAAAACTTTTAAACTCATTCTCTATGATTCTTTCTTTCTATATTCTTTTGACACAATGTCTCCAGTGTAGGATGCAAATTCAAGGTACTGATTCTCTGGTTCCAACCTCACGCAAATACAGTGGTCCACTTAATTGTGTGATTCAAACTGTAAAAACCGAAGGGGTAAGAATGCTTGAGGAGGGCGTTTTCGTCTTTTTTACAAATGAGAGATTTTGAGAATACTGAAGTAATAATGTGTGATTGTTGTTTTTCAGGTTAGTGGGCTTTTTAGAGGAGGTGTGACGACTTTGATGAGAGAAGCTATTGGAAATGCTGTGTTTTTTAGTACTTATGAGTATTTGAGGCATTCTATGCATTTAAGACTTAAAGATTCTTTGATTGATCACACAAATTTGATGGATGTAGGAATTGGGATCATTAGTGGTGGCCTTAGTGGTATCGCGGTATGTAACATCATCAAAATCTAATCATTAAAAAACATAAATTAGAAGATAAAAGGGTAAAAAAGTCATTTACACTCCGTTTGTCACACAGGACAAGACACCTATACAGTATTTGGATAGAATGGAACTGGGACAAAAATTACAATTTTTTGTCCAACCTAAAAAGGTGTGACAGGGACTCGCTCTCGATCTCTTGTGCAAAAGACGTAAATACCCTCATCTTCCTCATCATCAAAAATAGCCCTAGAAAGCTTGTCTAGTCTGGTGTAACAAATGCAGCCTTAAGGCTGCATTTGATACACAAGACATGACCTGGCATGCTTTCTAGGGCTATTTTTGATGATGAGGATGAGAAGGGTATTTACGTCTTTTTCACAAGAGATCGAGAGTGAGTCCCTGTCCCACCTTTTTAGGTTGGACAAAAAATTGCAATTTTTGTCCCAGTCCAATTCATTCCAAATACTGTATGGGTGTCTTGTCTTGTGTAACAAATGGAGCGTAAATGACTTTTTTGCCCTTTGATCTTCTAATTTATGTTTTTGACTTTTTTTTTCCTTTTTGTTTTCAGTTCTGGTCTGCTGTTCTTCCGCTGGATGTTGCAAAAACAATAATTCAAACTACCCCTGACAAGAACTTAACTAAAAATCCTTTAGTGTTGTTGAAATCGGTAAGATTTAAATGTAAATTACTTTTTTGCCCTTTTCACAAAACATTACAGTTAACAAATGATAATAATAATAGTTATAATAATAATAAAAGTAATAATCATAATAATAACGATTTATTAATTTAAACACTCAAGTTATTATATACACAATATCTATGAGGATTTAAATGTATTTGTACTTCCATTTATTTGTTGATATATATTATAGCATCCTACTTTCATTTCTGTCTTTTTTTTTTTTATGACATTTTACTTTGAAAATCTATCCAAGTAAAGCAGTGAAAATTGGCATGTATTTGGATGACAATAGATGAGGGCAAATTTGTAAAATGTTTAATGTTTATTATGATAGATTTACAGGAGGTCTGGGGTGAGAGGATGCTACACAGGTTTGGGTCCCACAGTTTCACGTGCATTTCCTGCTAATGCTGCTGCAATTGTTACATTTGAAGCAGCTTCAAAACTACTTGGAATCACACGTGATTGATAAATGCAAGAAATAGCAACCTACTTTCTCCACATTGCTTTTATTCATCAACATTTTTACACAAGGTTTTTCACATATCTTCTATTCTCTTTCTACTTTTTATTTTTTCTCTTTTATTTATTTATAGATTTTAAGGAGGGATTCTGATTTAGATGTCTGCTTGAAGGCATTGCACATTCATATGATTTAAAGAGCTCAATGATTCATAGGCTTAAATTCCCTCATTTTTTTGTGTGGCTAACATCTCTAAAGGAATATTTGTTAGAGTAAATTACACAAATGGTCCCTATGGTTTGGGGGTAATTTTCACATTTGGTCCCTAACTAATTTTTTTAACTCGGAAGATCCCTACTGTTTGTTTTTGTTGCGCGCTTGGTCCGTGTCTTACCTAAAAAGACTATTTTACCCTTTATTTTTTAATTTATTTGAATAAACACACCCCCAACACCACTTCCACCGCACCTTACCTACCTCACCTTATTTAAATAAATTAAAAAATCAAGGGCAAAATAGTCTTTTTAGGTAAGACAGGGGGTAAGCGCGCAACAAAAACAAACTGTAGGGACCTTCGGAGTTAAAAAAATAAGTTAGGGACCAAACGTGCAAATTACCCCAAACCATAGGGACCATTCGTATAATTTGCTATATTTGTTAAGGGTTAAATGCAAGAAATAGTAATGTAATTTTTATTTATTTATGTTTGTTATAACATCCTACTTTCATAGAGTTGTTTATTATAGCATTGTACTTTCATTCTTTCTATAACAATATTGTACTTTGAAAAATATACTTATTATAGTAATACCATTAAATTACAACTGCTATAAATAGCTAGATTTTTAAAGTATAATGTCTTAATAAGAAAATAAATGGAAGTATAATGCTATAAATGTTTAGATTTTCAAAGTACACAATGTCTTAATAAGAAAAATAAATGAGGACAATGCTGTAGTAGAAAGAAATGAAAGTAGGATGATATAATACACAACTAACTGAAGCTACTTTGCTATTTCTTGCATAAATACCAATTGCTTAAGCATGCAGTTATGCTGTTTAGTTATGGTTCAAGAATTTTGTGCATCTTGTTGGATTATTACATCTTTATATGCAAGTAAAAAATTGAATCTAAATATTAAAATGAACAGGTAACATTACATAGAACATTTATCTTCATAATCTTTTAGAAATGCATAGGAAAGTAACTTCTTATCTTTATAATTCATATGGTGCCCAATATTATAAAGGTTAAATGCAAGAAATAGTAAATTACTTTGATATGTTTGTGTATTATAGCATCTTACTTTTAATTTCTTTCTATTAAAACATAGAACTTCCAACTTTTTTATAATTAAAGCAGTGTACTTTTTTAAAATCTATCCAATTATAACATTGTACTTTCAGTTTCTTTTCATATTATTTATATCAGTGAAAATTGCTTTGTATTTAGATAACATTGCTATAATTTGGTATATAAAGTACAATTCTTTGCAAAAAAAAAAAAAAATAAAAAATCAAAAGGGCTAAATGCAAGAAACAATAACATACTTTCTTTCACTTGTTTATTACAGCATCTTAAGTTCATTTCTTTCTATTACAACATTGTACTTTCAGTTTTTTCTCATTAAGATATTGTGCATTTGAAAATCTACCCAATTATAGCTTTGTACTTTCAAATTTTTTCCCATTAAGACATTGTAGTTTGAAAGAAAATTGCTCTGTAAATTGGGTAGAATTTTCAAAGTATAAAATGAAAGTAGGATTTTATAAAAGTTGTATAGGATCGATTACATAGTACTTAAAAGCATGTAGTTTTAGCTCTTTTTTTTTTTTTTTTTTTTTTTTTTTTTAAAAAAAAAAAATGAAATGAGAGGGGAAAATAGAAGTGAAAGCATTATTTGGTGTCAAGACCTTGTAGGAGATAATGGTATGTATCTTTTTCTCATAACTAACTAAATTCCTTAATGTCATTCATAAATCTATTCATTGCATATATTTTGGGATTATTTATTTAAATAAACTCTTAATATCATTGTTGTAAAACTTAACAACTTATTGTAACCATCTTTTTTTATTTTAATACAGATTCTATTAAATTGTTTGTTGTGGAGATTCCTTTATAAAGTAGAGGTTTCTTTCATTTTCAATCATTCAATAGAACATTCAAAGCATATATATCTCTAAAAGTATCTTTGTCTTCTTGCTAAAACAAACCAATGAAAGTACATTGCTCTTTCTTGCATTTAACCCATCCAAGATAATATAAAAACATGTAAACCATTTTTACTTTATTAGCAACCCCGTGAATTTAATATAGATAAAGCTCTAGTGTATAAAGACATAAATACCCTTAAGATAACATAGTCCAATAAGACTGACAGAAGAGAGAGAGCATGTTACTCAATATATAGTTACCATCTTATTTGAAACGAGTTTGGTAATTGATTATGCTTCCTTGGAGAATTTTTTAAGAATCTCCTTTTTTATTTATTTATTTATTATTTTTTTAAATTTATTTATCATCCGGAACTTTCTCCATACGATTCGTAGGAGCTTTTACGCCTTCGTGCATTATGTCCCGCCAATCGCCTGCGACAACTCCTTTTCGCATCATCAAATTCCGTTAAGTCATGAAACCTGAAATTTACATCGGAATCAGTCATTCCATTCCATGATCGTGTTAGTCATTCCATTCCATCATCATGTTTGGTTTCCATGTAGGAAATAGGAATGGAATAAGTTTTCGTATTATGCGTAAAGAAAAACCCTTATACAGCTTATCTATATTAGGAAAGGTTTCCCATTAAGTCCCAACTTTTTGTTATTTTACAAATTTTCACTCATGTACTTTTTCCTTCAATTTCCGTTAGTTTGTTTTCATTTTTTCAAATATTTTTTAAAAACATTTTTTTCGTGGATAAAGTGGTTGAATAGACGATGATATGTCCTAATAAAGTTACATATGAACAAAGATTTTATCTTTTTTGTAGTGAATAAAATGTTTGAATAAGAGCAAATAACCATTCTAGCAATTTTTTGTGTCTTCCACTATCTTCATACTAGAATAAATGTTTGTATTCCTTTTTCTTTTCGCATCCTATTGTGACAAGTGAGCTAGTTTGTGTTTTAACTTCTTTTAAATAATACTATATTCTATTTTATTGATGGAAAAAATTTCAAGAAATGACAACGTAATTTCATATATGTAGTATAACATTCTACTTTCATGTCATTCTATTACCACATTATACTTACAAAGAGTTTCTTATCGAGGCATTACACTTGAAAAAAACTTCCATATTATGGCATTGTACTTTCAAAATTTCCTATTTGGACCTTATACTTTGAAAAACCTACCAATTGTTAAAAAAATTTCTCTTTTATTCAGATGGTTTTGCTATAATTCGATAGATTTTTATATTTACAATGTTGTAATGTAAAAAAATAAAAGTAGGGCAAGTCTATTTCAAATTTTAGTGTGGTACATAAAAGGTGATTACAACCACAGGTATATTATATAAAGTTGGTGAAAAGAATATTTATTTGATCGTAAAATATAAAAGTGACTGGACCAATTTGCCCTTATTGAAAATGATATTATTGTCTTGACCTGTTAAAGGAAAACTGTGTCACTTTTTCTTGGTTTTTTTTTGCTTAATTGATATACATAAACTTAGAGAAATAACAGTTATAACCTTTTACAAATTTGTCCTCATTTATACTTTCCTTCTATTTCCTCAAATTTCCCATCATTTTCTCAAATATTTTTAAACATTATTTATTTACACATCATTTTGAAGCAGCTTCAAAACTACTCAGGATCATATGTGATTGAGAATGCAAGAAATTGCAACCTACTTTCTCCACATTGCTTTTATTCATCAACATCTTTACATCTTTTTATTTATTTATTTATAATTATCTATAGATTTTAAGGAGGGAACCTGATTTAGATATCTGCCTGAAGGCATTGTGTATTCATATAATTTAAAGAGCTCAATGATTGATAGGCTTAAATTCCATCTTTTTTTTTTTTTTTTTTTTGTGTGTGTGTGTGTGTGTGTGTGGCTAACTTCTCTAAAGGAATATTTGTTAAGGGTTAAATGCAAGAAATAGTAACGTAATTTCATTTATTTATGTTTGTTATAGCATCCTACTTTCATTTTTCTATAACAAAATTGTACTTTAAAAAATCTACTAATTTTAGTAATAACATCCAATTACAAAGCAATTTTAACTGCTATAAATTGCTAAAATAAATGGAAGTATAATGCTATAAATGTGTAAAATTTTAAAGTACACAATGTCCTAATAAGAAAAATAAGGGAGTACCAAATGCTTAAGCATGCAGTTATGCTGTATAGTTATGGTTCCAAAATTTTGTGCATCTTGTTGGATTATTACATCTTTATATGCAAGTAAAAAATTGAATCTGAATATTAAAATGAGCAGATAACATGTATCTTCATAATCTTTTAAAAATAAGTAAATTACACTAATGGTCCCTATGGTTTGGGATAATTTGCACGTTTGGTCCCTAACTTATTTTTTTAACTTGGAAGGTCCCTACAGTTTGTTTTTATTGCGCGTTTGGTCCCTGTCTTAACTAAAAAGACTATTTTTCCTTGATTTTTTAATTTATTTAAATAAGGGGGGTAGGTAAGGTAAGGTAAGATGATGTGGAAGTGGGATTGGGGATGTGTTTATTTAAATAAATTAAAAAATCGAGGGCAAAATAGTCTTTTTAGGTAAGACAGGGACCAAACGCGCAACAAAAACAAACAGTAGGGACCTTCCGAGTTAAAATAATAAGTTAGGGACCAAACGCGCAAATTACCCCAAACCATAGGGACCATTCGTGTAATTTACTCCTTTTAAAACTTGCATGGCAAAGTAACTTCTTATGTTGATAGTTCATATGGTGCCCAATATACAAGGGTTAAATGAAAGAAATAGCAATTTAATTTGATATGTTTGTGTATTATAGCATCCTACTTCTAATTTCTTTCTACTAAAACATAAAACATAAAACTTCCAACTTTTTTCTAATTAAAGCTTAGTACTTTTTAAAATCTACACAATTATAAGATTGTACTTTCAGTTTCGTTTCATATTATATCAGTGAAAATTGCTTTGTATTTAAATGACATATGTAATAAAATGAAATAAAAGCTGCATGCATGCTATAATAATCAAAAGGGCTAAATGCAAGAAACAACAACATACTTTCTTTCATCATTTATTTCTATCAAAACATTGTAATTTTCAATTTTTTCTCATTAAGATATTGTGCATTTGAAATCTACCCAATTATAGCATTGTACTTACAATTTTTTTTCCCATTAAGACATTGTAGTTTGAAAGAAAATTGCTTTGTATTTCAATGACATTGCTATAATTGGGTAGAATTTTCAAAGTATAAAATGAAAGTAGGATTTTATAAAAGTTGTATAGGATCGATTACATAGTACCAAAAAGCATGTAGTTTTAGCTCATTTTTTCTATGAAATGAAAGGGGAAAATAGCAGTGAAAGCTTCATCAGGTGTCAAGACCTTGTAGGAGATTGTGATATGTATCTTTTTCTCATAACTAACTAAATTCCTTAATGTCATTCATAAATCTATTAACTTATTAGTTAGTTGTGTATTAAATCTATTAAATTGTTGGTTGTTGAGATTCCTTTATAAAGTAGAAGTTTCTTTCATTTTCAATCATTCAATAGAACA